TTGTGAGTGATCTACATTCGGGTTTACTTGATATTTTCTAGTACAATAATTACCTACTATACGTCGTAATATATACTTTTGTTCATCATCATTACCATCATCAAGTCATTTTATGGCACACTGGTGACCGCTGTTCATCTCTAATTATTATTTTTTCACCAAAATATATATTATATTATTATTTCGTTCACCAAACATTCACTAATGTAAGTAACATACAAATTAAAACCTTAGATACGGACGGCAGCATATCGAGCTATACATTGACAGATCTTGTTCCGTTGCTCTTCTGTCGAGATTAGAACAAAAGTGTACATCTTGATATGCTGTTGACTGAGGTCGCCATAGGCCCAATTTATATTGCGGCAGAACGGAATTTTGGTAACGATATATTATATTTTGTATACGAGCTAAAAATCACGTCGCGCGTCTTCCGCGGAATTCTCGCGTATGCTCGAGAATGCTCGCGCATTTGCGGGATTTACGCAACTGCCATCTACGATGCCTGGCCAATCTGCGGGAAGTACCGCGAAGGCAGGCAGTGTGACATCAAACGTCGACGAAATACTATAGCCTCAAGGCGTAATCGCGCGAACGTTCGAGCATTCCCGCGAATGCTCGAGCATTCCAGCGAGCACGCGCTCCTTCTCGCGCATCAAAGTGAAATTGTCGCTTCCGTTCCGCCGCAATGTAAATAAAGCCATAGGGATTCGAACAGTTAACCTTTCAATTGAGAAACCACGGCTTTTTTTGTTGAGTCATAGAAAACTATAAAATGGGTAGAGGTAATTTAATTTTTATTTAATCACTTGATAGAGGTAAACAGTCAACAGTTCTAGTAGTATTATTATAATTATTAGGGTCTCGATATCAAGGATTCGAATCATAATTTGTTAATTAGTATTTGTTCCGCCTCTATGTATAAGTTTGTAATTAATAATACTTGCTTAAACTATGTAAACAATATTCGAGATTGATTTACATCGCACTAATGAAAGCTGGGCTGCACAATCATTTATGTCAATCGGTTATTGCGACACAAACAAATCCTTGTTTTTATTTCGCTACTACATCTGACCTCTATTTTTAACTGTTTAGCAAATCTCTCGAATACAAATTGCCTTTAAACATAAGGTTTATATTAAAGTCTTCAAAGAATACTCAACAAGACTATTATATATTCAATATGTAACTATACGAACGTTGCTTGTGATTCCGAGCACACCAGAATTCGCCGTTAACCTCCTTCGGGCTGCCAGAAAGAAAGTTGCTGCTCGATAATATTTTAAGGATGACATGATTCGCTTTAAAAAATTGTTACTGTGTATATAATTTACATTGACTTAATTAAGTCTTTACCTTGTTATTGGGTAATTGTTATGTTAGTTTTCTCTACCTAATTTTGTTGACAATTTTTATTATTTATGTATTTGAGTATACTATAGTGAAATATTAAATAATATTTCAGGGTATCACACTCTGTTCTAGAATATTTAAATAATAAAAATTGCCACAGAAATTAGAGAAAATTACCCTTTTTTATATAATATTAAATGACGGGACGAACAAGTTGGGTGCCTGGTGGTAACCCTATTATCTCTCATACGTTATTTTACAGAACTGAATAATACTTGGCATTTAATAAAGGAAATACACTTGATGTGTTTATAATAATTCGTTAAAATGTACGTTATTCACTATTAAAAGTACGCTACATGATTTGATTAAAAGAATAGAGTAACACAAAACTATTGTTTAATAAAATCTTGAATATTTTCCTAGTCGACTTAAAGGTTTTTTTGGAAATGAAAGTTTTTTTGTAATCTAAATTTGGCTGACTCAATGGTGACCACCACACACAGTCGGCCTTGTAAAATGTCCGACACGTTAGTGTGTTTGAAAAAACAAATATACATGATGCAGATCCGGAAAAAGTAGTTTCATAACCAATTTCTTTTCATAGGAACACAAATTTTATTAATAGTGAAGTGCTTTTTAAGCAACGACGTTTACTATTTCCTTGTTTTAAGAAACTGTAGCGTAATGGACAATTTTGTATTTTACTTTTTCAGTTTTGTTCCTTACTAAAAAGTGGACAAGTAAGCTTTTAAAATGTAATTAATTAATTATGCTTAGAAACAAGTTCCTTACTGGGCAATACGTGCAATAGTTCCTCTGGGCGCACAGTACGATTACAGTACAGTTCTCAGTACTTACATGAAAGTAAAGAGTAAATAATATAACAAAACTGAATACTCGTAAAAACAGCACTTATTGCTCTAAACTACAGCGCGAATACAATATCTTAACGTGCCATTACAGTTACTTGTTACAACTTCGTGGAACGGGGCTCGTTACATAATTACTTCAATAGACCACAAAAATCAAAGTGCCTATAATTTACATAGTACTGCGTTTATTTAATTATCCTGCATATAACATAAGTACCTACGTACTTAGTATTTGGTGTAACGGGCTGGCGTCCGCAACTCGACGACGACGTCCACGCGCCTATTTTGCGTGTGGTTGTCTAGCACATATTCGGTGGCTTTCTAGAATAGTATCTCAAATCATCTATTTCATTAGGAAGATGGTTTAGTAAAAACTGGCACTCGCCGCCCGCGGATGAGGCCGGCACCACCGCGTTTATCACATTATTATCACATGATAATAAACATAAAATGATATTGTACCACATAGTATTGGGTGATTGTTTCAAATGGTGGATTTTTAAAAATATTTTTTCAGAAAAAAAACAAAAAGAAAATAGACAGATATTTTTAATACGGATATTTTTCCACTACCCAACACTAGTGTAGTAGCCTATAGCAATTAGGTTTTATTTCTTACTATCTGCTCTTATCAATGAATAAAAATGATGTACACTGTTAATAGTTATTTATTATTACTTTGTTAATCACCAATATTGAACTCATATTCTGTTCACCAAAGCATTGAAATTACATTTATTTAATTTATTCGTTATTTAAAAAAACCGTCTGTACCGTATGGTGTTTCAACACTTCATTCACATCGACAAAGTAGTAACCGTTTCTTGAGAGTGTAACTTGTATCAATTCAGACAAAAGAAATCAATAAGACTAGGTATGTACTTAGGATACATACAGAGATTAACAGTTACTTCACGAAGTTAAACTTCCTAGTTACATCTATATAAAAAATAAAGACTGTGTTATGTAAGTAGTGGTAGAGACATTAATGGTCTTTGCATTTCGTCTGATTCAAACTAATTTTGTACCTGACCATGTTGTTTTATTGTCAACAATACGTTACTTGCAAAATCACAATCTCTATTGTTCTAATAACAACAGTACCTTTGTATTGCTAGATTACGAGAATGTGAACGTAAGTAATTACAATGCTCTAAAATTAGAATTATTAGATATTAATTTATAACTTTGTACTATTTGCACACATGTAAATTTACATTATATCATAATTGTATGTGCACCAACATTCATTATCATTACTATTTTTTATTATTATATTGTTTTGTTAATTCTACGTACACTACGCTACTATTTTCGCATTTATTGTTGTCAGCTTATTATACATTAAACTTCTTAATAATGTTCTTAGTAGATAATTTGTCTGGAATTCTCAAATTTGCGAAAGCTCAAGCGTTAGCAATATAATTACATAATAATAATATCTATTTTAATAATAGTGGCCCAACCTAAAGTGAACTACCTTGGATTGGAACTCTTTTGACATTTTACTGAGATTTATTCAGAAAATGCTTAATTTTGTTGTGAATAGGACACCGAGCTTTTCATTGGTTAAAATAATCGCATGACAACATTGAGATAGTCTACGATATGCTAATTTTGCGCGGCAGATACGTCTCAGTTTTTTTAAACCATCTTCCTAATGAAGTAGATCCTTTTGAGATCATCTACTATTATAGAAAGCCATCGGGTGTGTGCCAGACAACCACACCAATTGCCTGATCTCAAACTAGGAAATTCCCTGCACTATGAGCACCAGAGCAACGGAATTCACTCTAAGGCACTTCTAACAACATCCAGATCGGAACCAATTTGGAAAAGTACATTTCCCAAATTGGTCCTATCGGGAATCCAAACCCGGGACCTCCGCATCCAGCGCCCACAATGCAAACCGTTAGGCCACCGACGGCGTGTAATGTGTAAATAGGTACGTGCTCCACCTGTTCGTATATTCTTAAAGAGAAGTAACATGGATTACCAGCATCACGCCACTGATCACCATGCCAACTATAGAACATAATCGTGACTGTAAGAAACGCTGAGAATCTGTATACACAAACGAATTTCACTTTTTTCGATACTAAACAGTTACATACTGCAGAATGACTAAGAATTTGCTGTTTGGTTTTCATAAAAACTCTCACTTACCGACTTCCTTAACAAGCGTTGGTTACATCGTTATGAACAATTATAATAGTCATTTAGTACTTTGCCATATTAAGATTCCGTAGTTACCTCAAATAATACAATTAACATAAATAATGAAGTGATTTAAAGTAACTGATTGATTTTTCCTGCTTTTTAAAAAAAAAATCAGATAATTGTACGTAATCCTTTTTATTCTAATGCATGAAAATTACCTTTGTTATTATTGTTATTACTCTATATGGTCTCAGGTACGCCTATAAGTATAATGCTCACATCAACGAAGCTTTTAAATATTTAGTTAATAATTTAGGTATTGGTAGTGTTGTGCCTATTGATCTGCCGGTGAGAAATTAGAATGTTTGCTAAAAATCGCAACCGATAAAGCGGCACAAACTAACAGTCCGCTACTTTGTGATTCGAAGTCGTCTCGCTGAGAACTGGGACAGCTGACTCTCTGGCCTACACAAACAGCTTGACTCTCATGAATTATACTAAACTGTTGCAAGGTTCGCAAAACTTCTTTATAGCGAACTTATTGATTTGCAAAACTCGCTTCTCCTTCTGTCGGAATCAGAGAATTAATGTGTTATTAAATTAGCTCACCTTAACAAAATAGAAACGAGTTGTTCTTCATGAAGTCTGCAAGTGTAAGACGAAGTGGACGCGCTGATCAGTGTGCAAACAATAACATTTCACTACTTTACGTACTGAACAAGTATAAACGCTTCATTCACATACTAATTATTTTCTAGAGAAACTACGCGGTTCAAGCAGTAGCGCACATACGGATCGCTCGGTGAACACTGAGCTGTGTGCTCGTAGCCGAGCGGACGAGACGAGGAGTGGGCGAGTGTCCACAACCGCACGCGGCGCGCGCAGTGAGAGTTGTGCCTTCCTCCGGTTGCGTGTCGCAGGCACGTCGCCACGCGACTGCCAGCGAAGGCCGCACCGGCCTTCGCACGGTGCATCATCCAGATGCTGCAAATGCATCGCTCGCAGTGCGCGTGGCGGCGGAGGCCGATCCACAGACAAAAGGACGCTCAGCCACCGCACCACGTATGGCCCACCGGTGCTGCAACGCGACAACCGCCGCCCTGCAGAGGAAAGTAATGTCAAACATTGCAAAAGAAAAATGCTACACATCGAGGCCGGTCATTGACCATGTGCAATTGCAGTACTATAACTTATACCAGTTGTAAGTTATCATAAGTGCAGTTCATTAGCCTACATCATTTTACCCGCTACATAACCGTTGCCGATTATAAGCACTCAGTGGGTACTATGCCTGCACAATTTAGGTATAATTCGACATAATTATCATTGTTATAATAAGCAAAACTAATTCGGCACAAAAATATAATATTATTATCTCATGTTAAAGATAAGAAAGCGCAAACCGCCGTTTACAATTCCGAGAAAGCTCTTAATGTGATCCGGGTTCAGTAGCTCGTATAGTATTTTGTGAAACATATCTTTTTCCATAAACTTGAACCCAATTTAACTCATTAGTCGGTTTGCATGACAAATTGCCTTTACTGAGATAGGTCTGCAGGTGCGTATGTTTCTGACTTGGGGGAACTCGAGGGACCATATGTGCAAGCGTAAAAACAACGCAAGTCACTCCTGGCTGAGCACGACCGTACACCGACCGTATACCATAAGCTACCAACCCCCTATATACATCCTTCACTTACATAAAAGTTGAAGCTATTGTTTCTCCTTGTCGCACCGAGACTGTTGGTGTAAAGTTGTTTAGACGTTGTCACCGGCAACGGTAGTCCGATACAAGACACGCGGTCCGCACCAAGCAGACGTGTCCGGTACTTCCAATATTAGAAAATATTTATTTGATATACTTATCTAATAAGTTGACATTTGTGTGTTATGACAATATGTTAGTGAACTCCATTGGATCATGTAAGTTATCTTCTTATTGAATTATCACTAGTAACATAAGTATTTGATATCAGCTGATCCCACCGAGGTCACTAAGTATGCCCTAGAAATTGATGGTTCTTCACCCCCGTTCCAAATAAGTACGCCATAAATTTGACATAAATGTGCTCTACTTGCATTTTTAGAACTAATTACTAATTAATACAAATACTTACTTACTCATTCGTCAATGAAGCTGTAAACTCTTGAAATGATTAATTTCCAATTGAATTTTATCTCTTTACTTAGCATCACTTGAGCTTAGTCGTATTGATTACACACTTAATTAAAGCGAAAAGTTAAACGCACGCAACATATCAAGTTACGAATACCATCGTGGTACCAATATACTCCGCGACAGCACGGGACTTCACGTGAGGTAGTTTATTACCTTCTAAATAAAAACCAAACTAGTTTTACAACTACAATAATAATGTAGTAAGGTTGAAAGGAAACTGTTTTTTAGGTTTTACATTCAGTTTTCTCTCTGCGTTACCAGTATATCAAGAAAATATCACTTTGTGAATTGCTGAATCACACGCACGCTAGTTAAAAATGTTAATTGGTTTAAATTTAAGAATATTTTCCAATTAGGTAGTTAGTTATACTTATAGTACTTATCCCCCCGAAGAAACTTAATTTTTTATGGGCAACATAACTAGAGATTATTTTACGTGCACTGAACTTAATTTGAGAATCCTATTTAGTAAAATTGTTAATAAACAGTCTTCAAGAAACATACTTAGCGTCATACTTAGCAGCTCGTAACATCTGAATCAGTAATGAAGTTTACTGCTAAATATTCAATGATTTTCAACAATGTCGGAATTATTAGATGTGCACAAACGCTGGCCGTATTTCTACAGCTGTTACTGTCAAATTAACATCGAATTATTTCCTTGTTTCAGGTTTTAAAACGTAGTTACTATGTTACGAAGATATTGTAGAGTTAACAATAATGGCGCTATCAGTCACCTTTGACGACCAACTTATCACAACCACCGATGTTAATGACAGTTCCGCTTCCAACTGGGATGCGCTGTATTGCTCACATTTGTGGTCTGACAGTAATTTGCGAAGAGAAGTGTTAAACGCGACCTACACTGACAATAAAGTTATAAAATATTGTTACACATGTAAGGGAAAAATAAGAAAATATGAAATCAGATCACCGAGACAAGATTTTGTACCTGATAACCATTCCACTCCTATTCCAAAGCTAACTATAAAAGATGAACGACATCCTAATAGACCAATAAACACTTCCTTCTGTCACACCGACAACGTCTCTAATAATGTAGAGACAGGCCAAAGTATACCAACAATATCACGTCACATAGATTCAAGTTTCAGGCAAAAATATACAACATATGAAATGCGTCCTCATGAAATGAACCATAGAAGAATTCGAAAAAGTCTGAAAGGCATTGGCTGTATTGTTAACCTAGCCCTGGTTGACAGTCCAGTAAAAAAAAGGACTCAAATACAAGCCTGCTCAATAAGTGTCATGATTATAGCTATCGTAGTTATAAGTTTTATTTTAGTTAACTTTACCACTCCTAGCTTTACGAATTCTAATGATGTTGTTACTAGTACAATTGTAGTGCCAACTATGAGTTCCAATGAAACGTCTTCTATTATAAATAAATATGACAAAACTTTACAATCTGTAAATTTCAACGTCACTGAACAGGTGACAATCACAGAAAATGATGGTATGCCCTTAACAAGCAGCATATCATCAGAAACAAGTATTACTGGCGACTCTGATGGAGTTCCAAAAGAATCTAAACTGAAAGTAGCCATAGATCTTACGTCAGAAACGTCGACCAATTTACCCCCAAACTTTTGCTCGTGCCAAACAAGCGAAATATGTATGTTGGAAACGACTACTGGGAAAGGAGTATGCAGGACACCCGTGGACCAAGATGACCCTACAGGTACAAACAAGAAAAGTGTTATAGTTCGCTCTATCTTAAAGAATAAAATTGTCAATTGTCTTTTATTTTTGCAGGATGTGGAGGTTTGTGCGCGTTGAATACTGAGGCATGTCGTGAAATAGACAAGATTACTGGAGTAAAGTACTGTCTCTCTTTACTGGGTCCTACATCATCATGTTTGGATGAAGAGTGGCAATGTCGCAATTCTCGTTGTGTCCCGAATGAAGCTCGTTGCAATGGCACTCCTCAATGCTACGATAAGTCCGATGAAATGAACTGCGGTACATACCTCTGTATATTTAATCAAATAGTATGCTTATCTTAATGTAAATTATCATTATCTAATGTTATATATGTTAATGTAAGACCACAGTGTCTCAAGCCAAGAGTCTTTGACCAATTATGTTGCTAGTGGTGACTTACGGTATTGAGACGTGGTCGCTCACTGTGGGCCTCATAAGTAGGCTCGAGGTCACCCAAAGGCCATGCTCGGAGTTTCACTGTGAGATCGAGTCAGTAATGAGGATATCTGCAGGGAAACCAGAGTAACCGACATAGCCCAAAGAATTGCAAAACATAAGTGGCAGTGAGCGGGGCACAGAACGGATAGGCGATGGAGCCAAAGAGTTTTCGAGTGGCGACCGCGTACCGGAAGACGCAGCGTGGGCACAAAATGGACCGATGACCTAGTGATGGTTGCGGGAATCCACTGGATGTGTCATTGTGGCGTTCTTTGGGGAGACCTATGCATGTTCAATAGTGGACATCTTTCGGCTGAAATTATGTATGTCGGTGCCTTCACTTAGGTATCCACTGTTTGTACTAAGTGCTATGCAAATAGTGGATACTTAGGTAAGTGAGGGCACCGACTGTACTTTTTACTTATATTTCAGAATGTGATCTAACAAAGAATTTTCGTTGCGGTCACTCAATGTCATGTCTTCCCAAAGCAAAACGCTGCGATAGAGTCGTTGATTGCTGGGACGGCTTCGACGAAATTAATTGCACTGCGGGTATAGTATAACATTTTTTGTAATTGCGGGTAAATTATTTACGCAGGTGTTATTAGGTGTTTGTGTTTATTTGTAAAACGACTATAAAACACTACTTATTCGTTAATCAAATCTTTTTTTTTGTATCTACAATAGCCGGTTACAAAAACAAACTTTAACACAGATGCAAAATTAAGTACCTATACGTAGCTACATACAAATGTCAAAGCTTCTATAGATATTTTGATAAATATACAGTAAAAATTGTGACTATACTGGGGCGTAAATTGCTTAATTTTACTTTTGACCCATTACTTTCTTTTCCTTATGACACAGAAACTTTATAATGGAATGTAAATCGGACTTCTACCGTTCAGCAAGTAACAAATCTAGGTTACGAATGTGCTCAGTGAGACCAATCTGACTAACGGGACTTCCTATAACTTGACCAAAGTTGGAAATCGTCAACGTAATTGCAGTCCATAGATTTAGTTACATAAGCGTATTTTACAATGTAAATCTGGTTAAGTTAAGCTTGCTCTTACACGATTAACGTATTTTAGTTTTAGCATGTACATGTGCTGTAGTAGTAGAGTAAAGCATTATTTTTTTTTTAAAGACGCACTTATGTATATTTAAAAGTTGTATATCTTTGTAGTGTGTCCAAACGAAGACCAGTTTACATGCAACACCGGTCAGTGCATCGAGTTGGCTCTTTTTTGCGATGGCCTTGCGGACTGCGCGGATGGCAGCGATGAGCCACAGGGCTGTGGTGGGCCGTGCCGCTCTCACGAGATGCACTGTGCTAACGGCCGCTGCATTCCTAATTTCCGTCGATGTGACCGCCACGACGACTGCGGTGATATGTCCGACGAATTCTTTTGTTCCGATTCCACATCTCTGTAAGGGTTATATTTGTAATGTCCTATGGTAATAACCCATCACGTATAATATTAATTGTGAATTCGGAAATACAAAGTCCATATTGTTTAAGTCGTTCATAAATTATGCAGTGAAAAGCTGCAGTTAGGGATAGTCTCCGGATTAGTACCTTAGAACGAAACTTTACATTATTTTTGTCTAAGAGAAATATCTCTTTTTATGATACATAATACCAAAATACTACAGTAAAGTTTAACTTTCGTTTTCGTATTTAATTTAGTGGGTTTTCTCTAACACATAACGATAGTAATAAGAATTAAAAGTTATTAAACATTTACCTATATATATAATTGTTTTTTTTTTCATAATATACTTGAAAATGAAGCGTAAAATCATTGCAATCGAAAGAAAGAAATCAACTAGCCGGGCCGATCGACAAAAGTTTTAAATTGCCACCAAAATCAAAATTATCCGCTTAATACTGAATGGACGAAAGAAAAAATCGTTCAAAATTGACGTCTTTCATTTTATTCATTCATTACAACGAAATATAATCATTCGTTCATTTGCTTTCACCTGTGTTCTGTGGTTTGACGCGTCATATTTTATTTGTGACAAAAACTCATAATTATAGAATTTGCAATATATTTTAACTAATATAATATATTATAACTATTAAATTTTGACGCTGGTAAATATCTTTAGTGATGGCTGACAGTGATGACGAATATGATCGCAAACGCCGTGATAAATTTCGAGGTGAGCGCGGGACAGCGGAGGGCAGCAGTTATAGAAGCAGTGATCGCCGCGATGAAAGAAGCCGGGGTAGAGACGACTGGGCTGAGAGGTAAATAATTCGAAAGGGTCTCCATAACACTAACTCGGGCTTTAGCAAGGTGACCTAAACCTAACCTTACTTCCAGATCCCAACCTCAACATCCCGAACCACCTAAAATACCCCCTCCAGTTCCCAAGCCTGTTAAACGATGTTCGGTAGCTTTAGTTGTGAGGTACCGTCGTTATACACTTAACTTCTGATGATTCTGGTTTTCACCCTTTACTTTTCATTAATTAACAATAGGTACATACATTGAGTTTTGTTAAAATACGTGATTTTACGATACAATAGATCACGTTCCGCCTTGAAAAAGCAAATAGTACCATGAAGTAGTAACTGTTTGTAATTTTCATTAATAAATCTTTTCTATTTTTACTCATTAACATTATTACATAATATTGTGCTTGGATTGCTACAATCTTTATATTTAACACTTCAAATAATAACAGAGATTCTTGGGCTGGAAGATCTCGCGGAGGTCGGTCAGGTCCTGACTACAGGGATTACCGCGGCGGGGCTAGCGCTAGCCGTGGCTATTCCCCAGTCCGTGGTGAAGGACCCCCCAACAAGCGTATTAGGCCAGATTGGCCGATAGATGACCGCAGATATGGTGGTATGCCTCATGACTCTTATGGGTCCTATGGGTGGGCACATGACCATTTAGGACCTCATCCTGCTCATCAGGGCTATGGACAGCCTATGCCACCAGTACCAGCAAGGTGAGTTTTATTATTAATAATTTATCACAACCCTGTGATACCTCAAAATGTGGTTTTATGACAGAGTGTATCTGAGATATGTTGATGTTGATAATTAATGTTGCTTTACTATTATGAAATGAGATAAATATTGGTAGCTAGTTAGTTATTGGTCTTGGTATGTAAAGAGTAACAAATAATATATACTATAAAATAACATTAAAATAATTTTGACTGAATGTATACATATTATTTAATTACGATTACATATTTAATATCCTATATGTATAATACTAAAAACCAAGCATAGCCATACTTAGTTGTGTTTTTGTATATGTAGAGATTATGATGTCAGGGATGCGGTGCTGCCGATGGGCGCGGTGGACGGTCCATCCACTATGATGTCCTTCAAGGCCTTTCTTGCCGCCCAAGATGACTCAATCACCGTTGACGATGCTATTCAGAAATACAATGAATACAAGCTAGAATTTAGAAGACAACAACTCAACGAGTTTTTTGTTGCACATAAGGATGAGGAATGGTACATATTGCTTTATTTTGTATAACTACAATATAAGCTTCAAATAATTTTTCAAAAACAGATTATATTAGTATTGTAAAAGTAAATACATGATTGTCTTGTGAAGTCTTGTTATGATAATTGTAAAAAATAAGCTATTTATTTCTAAACCACATTTGTGCCAGGCATAAAAAAATTTTAAGCAATAGTTTATAATTTGTTGACTTAAATCTACACTTGAAAAATTATTGAAACTGAAGCAGTGCTTGGAATTTTTTAAAGACCCAAAGCAAATCTTAATGGAAACCTTTTTTCCCTACAGTCTACAGCGTATTCGCGTGGAATTGCTGGACATCGTTACGAAAATAATATTCAAACTTTATGCAATAATAAATTGAATGTGTGTAGCTAGTTGATTCCGCGTTGACCCGTAGCGCGCAATGCTACAGGTTTCGTTTCTGTTAGGGCTAGGGCAAAAATACGCCACATGTGTGGTACAGGTGAGACTATGAAGATTTTTTACATTTTACTAAGACATTTTAGTTTTGCATTCCCCTCAACTACAATGGATGTCCAAAGGTGGTTATTAGCTATTTTCAAAGGTATCTTTTATTTGACTGATTTTCATATAGGGTTCTGAAGCTTGTGTAAAATAGGTAACCGTTACATACATGTTTATCAAATATGCATAAATTACAGTATCCTATATAGAAATCTTATTTTGTATATTTTAGTGTTGTAGATGTTACACTTGATATAAAGAACATTGTACTGATTTTGTTCATTGTTGTTTCATAGGTTCAAGATCAAATACCACCCTGAGGAATCTGTGAAGAGAAAAGAAGAACAGTTGGTTGCATTGAAGGTTGGCATACTTCATAGTCATTGAACTGGAATTTTAACTCATACTATAATTGGGCTTATTCTGTTACTGCAGATCAATATCAGTTTCAGCTATAAGTATAGTTGGTATAGTTAAAAATGGCAATTTTAACTCTGTAAAAATTTAGTTAACATTGAAGTAGCAAGAGAAGGTAGGTAATTTAATTAACTGTCTAAATACTTTCTAACTCTTTTAAATCTTTCAGAATCGCTTGAATGTTTTCCTGGAGCTATTGGACAATGGAGAACTTGACAGAGTTACAGTTGATGTGGATAAATCAGAAAAACTGATAAGGTTACTTGACACTGTGGTTATTAAACTTGAAGGTGGCACTGAAGAGGATCTAAAGGCCCTGGATGAACCATTAGCAGAGGAGAAAACTAGTAATGAGAAGATAGGTACAAACTTATAATTCATATACAGTAGGATTTCAAAAAGGGTCAATTGTTATTGTGTGTTACTTTTGTACATAAAGGTACCAACCTAATCCTTAAGCTGACAAACCTAAGAGAGGTAGAGGTATCATTTAGAAAGAGTATTAAAGTGGTAGAACGTCGCAATTAACGATACAACTTTTTTTCAGTTGAAGTAGAAAAACCAGTTGTAATTGATGTTGATGCTGTAAAAGTAAAAGAAGAAAAAGATGAACCCGAGAAAAAGGAAGAGGTTAGCATACATTTTATATTTGCAATATTGGCTTTTTACTCAGCCTCACAAGTTACATTTATTTGTATCTATATGTACTTATAGCTCATAAGTAGAATAACTATCAATAAGTCTAAAATTCACATTAATTACTTTTAAACAGCAAACTAAAGCGGAATCTCCAAAACCGGGAGCTCCCCTTACGATGGAGATTGATCCTCACTTGAAGCAACTGCAAGAGCAGGCAAAACTGTTCTCTCGATTCAATGCTGCGCCTGGCACAGAAGGAGAAACTGAAACACCCGAAAAAGAACCACGTAAGTTTCCAGATAAAAAACTTGTTTAAAGCTAGTAGCTTCAAGTATTTTAAATTTGTTTTAGTAATTTTATTTATTGTTTGACAAGTGGGATTGGCATCAAAATCGTTAGTAGAACTATGACTACTTTTAAACCTCCTTTTAGAGCTCCTTTATAGAACAAACAACATGGTTCTCAGTCCTAACAATGTAACTAGTGTAACAAATAACTATCTTATTCTTCACAGCACCACCAGGCTCATCGTCGAGTTCCTCATCATCCAGCTCGTCCTCTTCAAGTTCAGAGGATGAAGACGAGTCCAAGTCTCGTCGCAAGTCAAAATCCAAATCCAAGTCCAAAACACCTGAGAAATCACCTAAAACTAAAGAAAAGTCCAAATCGCCAAGCATAGAAAAAGAGAAGGAAGCAGTAGAGACAGAGAAAGAAATAGAGAAGAATGGAGACGATAAAGCAGAGTCCATAAATGACGTCATCGTAGAGAGGAAAGAATCCCGGGCTTTGCATAAAACTACCTCAATCTTTTTACGGAATCTTGCTCCTACCATTACTAAGGCCGAAGTCGAAGCTGTAAGTATTTTTAAGAGATTTTAGCTTTATAGTGAGTTATTAGTATGTTGATATTTGTACATTGTCTTTATTCATTATTTTGTAGATGTGTAAACGCTATGGTGGCTTCCTGCGCGTGGCCCTAGCAGACCCGTTGCCAGAGCGGCGTTGGTTCCGTCGAGGATGGGTGACCTTCCGTCGCGACGTCAACATTAAAGACATTTGCTGGAACCTTAACAACATCCGGGTAAGACTCAATATTACTAACAGAGTACAATAAAGTTGAAATACTGCAAATATTCTATAGATTTCAAAGGAGTGTATAACAGTAATACACACATGTAACGAAGTTAATACCAACATAATTTTATTTGCAGCTCCGCGAATGCGAATTAGGAGCTATAGTAAACCGGGACCTGCAACGCCGAATTCGCTCAGTATCTGGGGTGACACTAGAGAGACCCGTTCTACGCGCAGATGCTCGCTTGGCAGCCAGGTTGGCGCACTTGCTTGATACTCGCTCCCGTCTGTGGGCGATTGATAAGGAAGCCCAATCGGATGCTGAGAAGAACTCTATGGATGTAAGTTTCAGATTTCAACTAATTTTCTATCTGTATTGAGTTCTTAGATTGTCAAAGTCAAAATCATTTATTTGCTATAATACATTGAACAAGATCTTAATGTATAATTATTAAAAGTACAGTACTCAACCTATACAGGTGTGCAAATTTTGTTATATTACATACAATGTCTTGAATTCTATATATTAGTATTTCATTTCGCGATTACTGTTCATTTGAAATTAAATATTTTTCAGGTCAAATAAGCCATCTCGGTCAGCCTCCATGCGACCTGGATGCGATTGGATTAAAAAAAAAGTCACATTCCCAATTTAATGTTTTAACACATTTTTGATGTCTAAAAAATCTTTTTATTTTTCCAGAACCTAATGAATTCTAAGAACCCTGTGCTCCATAAGATCACTGAGCATCTCATAGAAGAGGCGTCTACAGAAGAAGAGGAGCTTTTAGGCCTAGAAGCATCGTCAGAATCAAATACCGAGCAAACCGACCCAGAGTTGATTCGCGTTTTAGACCGCTTGATTCTTTATCTGCGTATTGTGCACTCAGTGGATTATTACAATCATTGTGAATACCCTTACGAGGATGAAATGCCGAATCGTTGTGGTATTATGCATGCTCGATCTGGACCTCCTGCTAACAAGGTGCGTTCGAATGCGTGTTTTACGGAAACAGAATATAATAATTATTGAGAAATACTTTAATCTGATACAACGTCAGCTCTAATATTAACCTTATATCTAAACTGTTAAGGTAAACTTAGACGACCTCAGTGGCCCAACGGTTTGCAGTTGTTAGTACAGGAAATACAATCAAAATTATCAAAATATACACCAATTGTCTGGTCAGATAATTGATGTGGTTGTGTAGCTCATTATTATTATGTTACATTTCTGGGGATCTACTCTCGATCTCCGTCCGACATCCGTCCGAAACAATTACTGTCAAATAAGTAATATTCGACAAAATTAAAAGACAAGTATCAAGTATGAAGCTTCATTCGCATCAAGGTCTTTTCATTTGGTCAAATATTGCTTATTTGGCAGTAATTGTTTCAGACGGATGTCGGACGGAGATCGAGACTAGACCACCTGATACTGACATGTAACATGTTCTCAAGACAAACATGGTATAATTGTAATATACAACATCACTATGTTACCTTAACAGAATACCAGCCTTATATTTAAGGTGTTAAGGTAAACGTTTGCAATAGCAAACTAATGAGCTACATAATTTTATGGTCAAGTAATGCAGTTTACAATGTGATTGTGAGCTCCTTGAAATTCCAATAGCTCTGAGGATTAGCTTTAGAAAATAGTATTATACCCACTTAATTCTTCATTTTATAATTATATTATCAAACATTATCTATATCAAATACTGTCGTAACTAAAAATTGTGGAATTGAGAAAACACGATTCGGAAGTTCAAAAAATTACTGAATGAAACCTATAAATTTATATTCTCGTTTATAAATGGACAACTAAGTATTAAGTAATCACATTATTGAAAATAAGATCCGCTCAAATTGAGTGTTCTCTTTATACCACCGTTTTGAGTTACGACAGTATTTGGTGTCATGTGGGATATATTCCGAAATTCGTTAGTTATCTTAACAAAGTACCTTATTATTATTGGTACAAAGATCGAACACAAAGAAAAATTCTTTCGATCTGAATGGAAAGGTACCAGTGACTTGCCATACTGGAGCCATCACCACTGGGGCAACAGACACTGGTTCAAGTCAGTTGGAGTGTTCGATCTTTGTATTAATAATAATAAACTTGTGGAGTATATTCTCAAGAAATATATCTAAATCGTGGTAGTGAAACATCATGATATTCAATAAATAAATAAATAATACAGTATATTTTTTTCTCTTGCGGCTTGCGACTCATTAAATAAAAAATAAAAAACTTTCTTACAGCCGTCACAACAAGAAATACAGGACTATATAAAAGCATTTGAAGGCAAGATGTCAGCATTTTTGCAAGACGTCAAACCTCTCGCTGACGAGGAGTTACAGAAACTTGGTATTAAGGTGCGTTAAGTGCGTAAGACGGCAACGTAAGAACCTAGCAACAAAAATTTCAAACAATAGTTATAAAATGTGATGGAGAAAAATGAAGGCTCTCCATTAGAGCTACCACGACAGCGTGACTTATGCGAGAGCGACATACAGTGTCAGATCTCAATCGAGAATAGCAAGCTCTCGCTCAAGTCGCGCCCTGTCGTGTTTGTCCTGCTGGTATTAACTTCATTTCGTATTCCATATGGGACACTTTCTGTAGTTTTATGTGTATATTTTTTTTTAATATCAAGTGACGGGACGAACAAGTCGTGCGCCTGATGGTAAGCTACACGCCTGTCCATAACAGTTGCAGTGCCACTCAGAGCTTTAAATCGCAACGATCTGAGGGGCACTGCCACTGCGCTCGTTACCCTGAGACAAGTTGACAAGTCCCATGTGCCTGTAATTTCACCAGCGCCCTTACCCTTGAAAACCGGAACACAGTAATGCCAGCATTACTGTGGTCCGGTGCCGCCAGGCAGAAATAGATAAGGTGGCAGTACTTCCCAGGACGAACTCTTGCGCAAGGAGCTCTACTGCTACTAAAATATATATGTATATACATTGTGTCAAGAAGACAAAATGTGTTAAATTTGAATTACCTAACGTAAAATCGACTAGTCCAAGCATAGAAATAAACGGTGAAAAGTTAGACCTTGTTAATAAAGCAGTCTTCTTGGGAGTGACCTTAGCTAGTAAACTTCAATGGTTTCCACATATATCTTCCCTGGCCAGCAGATTAACTCCGCTACATACGCAGTCCGCAGAATACGTCATCTTACCGATGGTAGTACTGCTAGACTAGTTTATTTTAGTTACTTCCATAGTATAATGTCCTACGGGATTCTCATGTGGAGTAAAGCGGCAGATATTCAAACCATATTTGTATTGCAAAAACGAGCGATTCGTTGTGTGTACCGTCTGGGCTCTCGGGTTTCTCTCAGAGAAAAGTTTAAGGAGACTGGTATCATGACTGTGGCATCACAGTACATTTACTCAAATATTTTATATGCCCGTAAAAATATATATAATTTCATTAAGAAAGAAGATATCCATAATATTAACCTTAAAGCGAAGTCCAAACTCATGGTACCACGATTTCGTTTAACCAAGGTCAACAACTCTTTTATGGGGAACTGTATACGTTTTTACAATAAGATTCCGCAGCATATATTAAGTTTATCATTTCCTAAGTTTAAAAACTACATTAAAAATATTTTGATCGAAAAATCATATTACAAAATTGAAGACCACGTGTTAGATAAAGATGTATGGAAAGACGACATGGCTCCAGAATCCACACAAATTTGGTTCAAAATGTATTCCATAGCATTTAAGTTTATTTGAAAAGAGCAATCCCTAGAGTTTCTTGCTCGTTCTTCCCAGGGAGGTCAGCGTAGTGAACGACCAGTAGCTTAAATGAGACGTTTTCAAGTGTAAATTTATTTTACCTATAACCTGTACTAAATACCTATAATAAATAATCTTTGACTTTGTGTGTGTGCGTTATAGTATAACTTTTCCGTAGGACCCCGATGCAGAAGTTGAGAAATTTGTCGTAGCCAACACTCAAGAGCTGTCGAAAGACAAGTGGCTGTGTCCACTTAGTGGCAAAAAGTTCAAAGGACCAGATTTCATCAGGAAACATATATTCAACAAGCACGCTGAAAAGGTAAGTTTCAACCCTTTCGGTCATAAAGTGTGTAATTATTATCTAGATCAAATTTATGGATCTGTGTATACTTTTCATAGGTACTGCATAGTGTTCTAACATTCTTTCAGATGTTACTCTTTGAGTTTTAGCGAGGGAAGTTTAGCTATGGATGCGTTTTAATACTCCTAAGGCACTTGAAAACTCTCATGCTGATTTTGTATATGGTTATGGAGAAAACCTACTTTATGTTCTTAGATGGTTTTACTTATAAGTTAAAAAAGAGATTCTAATACAAAATATAATAATAATACTAAATATTTATTAACGTGATTTGAACATGAATTTAAAATGATTTATAAATTAATAAAAATATTAAATTTTCATCTTGCGTTTAGAATATGAAAATGCATTTATTACCTCGCTTGAAACATCGCGTCTTAAAGGATTTTAGAACAGCGGTCTGTCATAGTATTGTATATGTCATTAAAAGTGACGTTGCATTAATAACAGCTATTTAGCTAAGGCATTTTCAGTCTTTTTTTTATTTAAGTTTACCATTCCAAGCCAAACTCGTGTCTCTATCTGCATCGCGCAAAGGTGAACGTTGTCTGTGGAAAATGGTTAAAGGCTATAATAAACCCCAACCAGTTAGTGCCCTAATAAAAAACAGTAATTACTCCTGGGCAAGAAGTGAGGAAGAGAAAGCAAACGCATTTAGCATACATCTAAGGCAGGTCTTTACTGCAAATGAATCTGTAAATGAACATTGGCAAAAAGAAGTTGAAGATTTTTTGAATTCTCACATCCAATTAATATTACCAATTACGTCTTTCACACCAAAAGACACGTTGCTACACGTTTTAGACCTCTTAACAGTGAAAAAGCTCCGGGCTACGGCTTAATAACTCCGCTAATATTGAAAAAGTTGCCGCGTAGAGGCATTGTTTTTCTTAACCTTGCTATTCAATAGTATTTTAAGAGTGGGATACTTTCCATTACAGTGGAAGATATCCCAAATAGTTATGGTACCTAAACCGGGAAAGAATCCTGTTGAATTACATCTTTCACACCAAAAGACACGTTGCTACACGTTTTAGACCTCTTAACAATGAAAAAGCTCCGGGCTACGGCTTAATAACTCCGCTAATATTGAAGAAGTTGCCGCGTAGAGGCATTGTTTTTCTTAACCATGCTATTCAATAGTATTTTAAGAATGGGATACTTTTCATTATAGTGGAAGATATCCCAAATAGTTATGGTACCTAAACCGGGAAAGAATCCTGTTGAATTACATCTTATAGACCACTAGAATTAGGAGTAATCCCTGTGCTGTCTAAAATACTTGAAAGGATGCTGCTCGATAGAATGAGACCTATAATTGAATCCAGGAATCTAATATTCGAAATCACCAATTCGGTTTTCGAAGAAACCACTCTACCGTTGAACGAGTTCACAGAGTAACAAATGAAATACGAAAATCTATGGGGAAAAGCAGTATTGCTCGGCGGTCTTCCTTGATATACAGCAAGCATTCGATAAGGTATGGCATGCAGGCCTGCTTTTCAAACTGAAAGAAAATTTACCTCATACTTACTATGTCATACTCAAATCGTAGTTGACAAATAGATGTTTTTCGTGCATTATGGAGAAGCACTATCTCAGATCCACGACATTCAGGTAGGGATGCCTCAGGGCTCAGTATTGGGACCGATTTTGTACACATTGTTTACATCGGATCTACCAGAAACTAATGGAGTACTCACAGCGACATATGCAGACGATACCGCAGTACTTACCCGTGACATAAAATCCCAAGTTGCATCGCGTAAACTACAAGTACAACTTGATAAACTAGACCTGTGGCTCTCAAAATGGAAGATCAAAGCCAGTGCTTTAAAATCTCAACATATAACATTTACACTTAGAAAAGGAAACTGCCCTGATGTAAAAATGAACAACCAGACCTTACATCATGTTAATACTGTTAAGTATCTGGGAGTGTATCAGGACAGAAGACTAACATGTAAAGATCACATCGAAGCAAAACGGGATATATTGAAAAACAAATTCAGATGTATGCTGTGGATAATGGATAGAAAGTCAAGGTTATCCAGTTGAGAAAAAGCTATTGTTGTATAAGTCGATATTAAAACCGATATGGATATATGCATTGGAGTTGTGGGGCACTTCTAATGTGGAAATTCTTCAGCGCTTCCAGAATGGTGTCCTAAAGACTATAATCCGAACACCTTGGTTTGTAAGAGCCCAAGAAATACATGACTATCTTGAAATGCCAACTATTAAACAGGAGATACTGGCACGTAAAGAAAAGTATAAGTCTCGGTTATCACCACATACAAATGTATGGGCAAGATCTCTGGTTGACGAAAAGTATGTAGGTGGCTTGAGTCGTTTGAAAAAGTCAAGAATACTGAAATGTTGAATCAGAAGAACACAATCAGCCACTTAATGAATAAGGAAGAAAAGAGTCACAGGACTCTATTCCAAACGACATAAAACTATAGCACGGATCTGTTTATGGTTCAAAGATTGATCGCACATCATCATCATCATCATCATCATCAGCCTATTGCAGTCCACTGCTGGACATAGGCCTCCCCTAATGCACGCCATTTCGCCCTGATCGCACATGGATACAAAATAAAAAAAGTTTACTATTTCATTGTCTTCATAATATGTAGCCATGTGCATTGTTAGTTGACAGCTTCCGTAATGTTCTCAGGTAGAAGAGGTTCGCCGAGAAGTGGCGTACTTCAACGCGTACGTGCGTGACGTGCGGCGTCCACAGCAGCCTGAGCCGCCTGCGCGCGCCGGTCCGCCCGCGCACCACGCACCGCCGCCCGCGCCGTTAGTACCTCCTACACAAAACCTACCATACCATGCCCTCACCTTTAAAACCGTATCAGCCCTCTAGAACTTGAAGTCCACCACTAAACATCGAGAAACAAGGAGGATGGATTTACTTCTATGATACACTTGCCTCTGCAATGAAGTTATTATGGGGATTTTTATTGAATATCATAATGTTCTACCACCGTGATATTTATTTATTTTTGGTGAAATTACTCCAGTGATTTTTTTATAATTGAGGCTATCAGTGCAAAAATAGTGAAACCCACATTTAATTTTTTTTTCTGCAATATTACTTTAAATGATACTAAAATACGTAATTATTCTATATTTGGATGATATTTTTAAGTATAAAAATAATTTTAATAATGAAAATATCATTCAAATATAAAATAAATATGAACTTTCATATCGTTTTGCGTAATGTTGTACAAAAGGCTATTAAATGTGGGTACACCAATTTTGCGCTGATATCATCATCAATTACCAATACAAAGATCAAACACAAAGAAAAATTCCTTCGACCTGACGACAGGTCTCGAACCTGTGTCTTTGCTAATACAGGACCACAGTGTTGACTCTGTATTTATATACACCAAGAACTCCATAAAACAACCGGTCGTCGAACTACGAAGTGTAAAAAAAAACAAAACATTAAGATAATATTACAAGGTATTTACTATGTGTAGTGACGTAATGGAATCACGCGATGGCAATTACATAATTTGGCGACATGTGAGTGCTCAGAACGTGAAACCTTTTTCTACAGAATTTTATATGTATGGATATAAAACATGGTTTCGACGTTCTCTCACCCTTATACGTCTGGCTGTCCTACCCCTGACTGAAAACTGTACAGTTCAAATAATCTTAGGGCGCGTTCCCATTATGTCGCAATGTTCTGTTTGTCGTTGGACGACTGTCGAGTCTAGCCTGTTGCCATGTCATGACTATCTGTCGTGACTGTATCGTGGACGTTTATTTTATCGTTTAATGATCGTCGTGTCGAGCTGTTCATTTAAGTATACAAATCACGACACTTTAAACTGCACGTCTATCTGTCGTCACGACATAATGGGAACGCGTCCTAACTGTGTATGGCGTTTTAGGAGTAGGATAGTGTAGAAATTTAGTTTTTGGTCGTCGTAGAAGGTGGAAATAATGGAATGCTTACAATGAATTTATCGTTGTAGATACGGCGGAGGGCCGGCCGCAGCAGGGCCACCGGCAGCGCGCTGGGGGGGCTGGGGCGGCTGGGCGCCTCCCGCGCCCTATGCGCCCCGACACCCGCGTTTCTCGCGCCCCAGGTAACATCCGCTCCACAACCTACGGCGAGAAGTGACAGGACTCTCACTCTACTGCTTAATCGTAACTTATGACATATTAGTATTACTTAGAATATAATCTTTTTTTGTATTATTTTTAAGAATTTCACAGGCACTGTATCACTATGAACGAGCATGTCCATTCACTTCTCTGCTACATTTTATTTCTTACTGATTGGTTTGTGGGATTTAGACAGATGCATGTTCATTGATAATTTTTGCACGTCTTAGTATATTTTTTTATTAAAGTATTTGGCGCGTTCTATTTTGAGGAGAATTCATATAGGCTCATAAAATAAAAAAGAACTCCAAATTTTCATACTTACATTTTGTTCATTTTTGCATGACCTTAATTTTTGCCTTCCTATATTCAGTTAACAAATATTAATAACATCATTAAGTGATTCGCCAATATCAAATGCTGGCTTCAGATACAAAAGGCGCTTAAAACGTTATTTTTCTTTGTCTCATATCTGACACAATGTACGAATGAAACCCATAGACAATGTTTTGAGGAAGGGAATAATTTGCAGGGAAAATGTGGATCGATCGCGGCCTATTATTGCATACAACGATCTTGACTTCCCGGAAAGTGGTGACATATTTTAAGTTGTGACATACTCCCATGACATTTTTTTATCAAGATTCTGTTGTGTAAGCATTCCGTATTTACGACATTGTTAGCGTAATTACATTTGCTCAGCTGGACTTAGAGTATACAGTGGTACATCTATACACGTGTTTTAATTATAAGACACTAGTGATTTGCATACTCTTTTTTATTTATTACGTAAGTTGTAGCGGTACTTGACAAATGTAATTATGTGTATTTTTAATTATTGATATTTTCCATTGTTTTGTATTAAATTTTTTGACTATGCAGCTATTTCAGATCATGTACTTAATGTATGATTGTCTACTCCTGTTACATCATTATACAATGCATTGCGACATTTTGTACGTAACTTTAAGAGAAAGAATACTGAAATCGTTATGAAAATAAATTGTCACTCATTTATTAATATCCTTATTTTATAATTAAAACTTTTTCTTTATTTAGTATTTATTGTATGAAAAGTTACAATAAACTGACCGAAAATATTAATTTTTCTTTATTCGAGATCCAATCCAAGAATCCCATAGTCCTCACTAAGCAACTCCCGGGAAGCTGAGATTAAAAATAGTAAACCCGACGCACCTTGTTATATAATAGTGAATTTGAATGGTTTTGTTTTGCTTTTGGCGTGTGTAGGGAGGGTTGCTAACGAAGATATTAATTGTTAAAGGGGCGGCGGCGGCGCCGATTTCCGGCCGGTCATTCACTACCGCGACTTGGACGCCCCGCGCGAACCCGATGAATTCATTTAACTCGCCGTGCGGCTTGCCAAGAGACACTTCACTTGCACGTAGATTTTGTTCACATTTATGCCTCAATGTAAATAATTGTATGTGAAGAAATACTGCACTATAATTACATACAATTGTTTTAGGTAATAAGCTCGAATGTCACAAGGTTTAGGTGAATTTATTTTTAAATATAAATTTTATCCGAAGTTCGACTTTTTAATAATTTACTGTTTATTAAGAATTATACACGTTCCATGTACTCAACTATTCATACACTAAATATCCCGTAAGTTACATACGCCATGCAGAAATAATTTATGAATGAGCCGTACTCATATTAGATACGGTCTACTTGAAGTATGACTTAATACCGTTTAAGTCTTTATAACAATAAACCCATAACAAACGGCCTTGTAACTCGTACTACCTTGAGATATATTCCTCGAACTCTAACTTTCATATCAGAGTAAACAGGAAAATGTTTAATTTGTTTTGCTTGCCTATTAATATTTAAAATTTATATATAATAACGCACACACTCAACATAGCCCCGCACTAGGGAAACCCTGTGTCGCGGATGCCGTGGACACACACATAGACAACCACAAATTACACCCAAACTCACGAGAGAAATAATTGTAGGTCATACAAATATTTCGCCCGGCCCGGGAATCGAACCTGGGATCTCTGCGTGGCAGTCCGGCATGGTAACCGTTCGGCCACGGAGGCAGTTAAATATATTGTTACCAGATCGGATCCATCTGTTCTCAGAACATTGCTTAGTTTATACATATATGATATTTGCGAAATCAAAGCGTATTGGTGTTGAAGATCAATTGGCGCCATACAAATAATAAATAGGAATTACCTCTTTTTTTACTGACTGTATTTTTATTTTTAAATCTGTGAATGTTGTTGGAAGGTAACACCTAAATTTAGGATTGGCTTATCTTTCAAAACAGGTTCAGATACTGGTGGGTAATTTTTCGAAATATTTTCAAATAGTGGAAATTTTTCAGGAAAAACGTCTAAAAAATTGGAATAATATAATTTGAAGGCTCATATTATGTTCCACGTTTAGAAATATCTTTTGAAGTTTTATTTAAAAAGCTAAAAGCAAGTTAGAGTAAAACGAGATTTAAAATGATTGGAAACAGCAAAAAAAGGGATCCTATGTAAAAAAATAAACCTTTCTAATGGCTCCATCGTTTTCGTTCAGTATCGTCAAGTTTTGACAGCTGTCAACTGTCAAATGTGGAAAAATATTTGTTTGTTTGAAAATATATATTTTAAAGTGGACGTTTTTCCATATCCCACCACTAGGTTCTGGTTCTCTTTATGCATTGTATCAAATCTCCAGCCTTTATTGTTAATTATCGAAGACGCAAATCTTTTAATTCAAACCACATCCGTGACCTCTTAATAACAAGCGACTGATCGTTCTTTGTTTTATTATAACTCGATCAGTTCCATAAGTAGTGTATCATTTACCCGTTTAGCCATTATAATGAAGGCATATATCATTCATAAATACACGTTTCATACGGATGATATCAGATGGAGCCATAAGTGTAATCGTTATTAGAATCTAGTTAGCCTTTATGCTGCAACGGGTATGTATCGAGAATTCGTAGTTAGTAATGCAGGTGGATCTCACACGGATGCATGCGGTATGATGTACACGCCTGCGGCTGAACTGCGGGCGCGCTGTTACAATGCAGATTACGTTTATTGTGTTTTCCAACACGTTTGATGATCAGGACATGAATAATCCCACACATGTAACTAACTGTACGGAAATCATATAATGGTTTTTTGGATGGAAATGTATTGAGACGTCGGTAAATATACTTTGCGTCTATTGTAAGTATTTATACTTTTATCTATATATAGTCTGACGTTTTGGAATAAAATGACTGTTCATTGCGCAAAAGTTGCCCGCTTACAAGCAGCTAGTGATTACAGCCGATAAGTATTCTATCGACTATCTACTGAATATTGGTCACACTTATGCAATAAATAGCCGCCAGACGTGTTTCATTTGAATCATCATCGGCCTATTATTCGCCCAGTTGGGCGAAGGAATAATAGGACGAGGCTGGGCAAAGGTTCATTTGAACTGTCAATTTATACATACACTGTATTTATTATTGTGTATAAAAATACCAACACGAGAGATATTTTGAACTTTTTCTTTTTAATGCAATACCTATAGATACCTAATCCAATCCACCGACCACGCGCCGCAGGCCGAAGCCGACCCCACTCGTATTTTATGAATGTATGAACATTTTTTTTTTATAATATCAAGTGACGGAACGAATGAGTCGTGCGCCTGGTGTAAGCGACACGCTGTCCATAGCAATTGCAGTACTACTCAGAGTTTTAAATCGTAAAAATCTGAGGAACACTGCCACTGCACCGTGCCCTGAGACATAAGTTGACAAGTCCCACGTGCCTGTAATTTCACCAGCATCCTTACCCTTCAAAATCGGAATGCTCACATTACCGCTTGGCGGCAGACATAGGTAAGGTGGCAGTACTTCACTGAACGAACTCTTTCACATGGAGCTCTACTGCTACTAAAAGGATAACATTACATCCTGGCAATATTTGCGTATGTAAAGAACTTCACGTCCACCTTGCGAAATCTTCGGTTGTCACTCATGGACAGTTTACGGTAAAGAAGAGAAGGGAATAGGAGAAACACAAATTGAGAATGTCTAGGGCAGTCCACGTCATCAGGAGCAGGCATTGGCCAAGTATAATATACGATATTACTGAGTTTTATAGTTATTCTTTCTGGTGTTAAATTGAATGTAGCTCTACATGATATTTACTTTATAAAAGATAGTATAGGATAGTGCAGTTACGCGTAACTGGCATTGGATGATGAGTTTCTATTTCGGTAATTTAGTGGCCGAATCAAATCTGCGTATATGTCGTGGTAACCAAATTAGCGTGATATACGGGAATCTATTGTTATCAGTCCGTAGACAACATAAATGAATGCTTACAGTGCAAACATGAAAGTCGTAGCCATTAATAAAGTAATAACGTTAAATCCCTCTCCTGTAAAAGTTGGTTTACTGTATATACGCGGCTTTTAAGTATGCTACATTCGCGAGTTTACACTATCCCCGAAGATATGTTGACAAGTCTCATGTGCCTATAATTTCACCAGCACCCTTACCCTTCTGAAACACAGTAATGCTCACATTAATGCTTGGCGGCAGAAATAGGTTAGGTGGCAGTTCTTCCCTGGACGAACTTTTTCTCAAGGATCTCTATTGCTACTACATTGATTTTGGTTGTTGAGATCTCCAGGCAGATTTATGGTTTTAAAACATTTGTATAAAATAATTGTTAGAAAACGATCAAGGAACATCTCCAACCAAAGTCAATAACATAGCCGCAATGATGTCACTCGATAAAGAACACGATTTGTATCATGGGCACATACCGATCCCTGTACAGATCGATTAATTTGCCACAACAATAAAAATAAAAACGCTCCCGGATCAAGCTGCGTATTTTCCGCTGAACTTAACACAACCTTTTATGGAACGTGACTAATAGACATTTTGAATTATAGTAAAATCACATCAAGCTATAGTACAGTACAGTAAAATCATCGGGACACTGTGCTGTTCTTGTCATAAGTGAATTGAGTTCAATTGAAATGTGAAGTGTAAAGCTAATCGTGCTGTTGACTGTACCTACCATACAACATTTTTTTCCCCATTCCAGCTGTTAAATTTCTATTCTAAGGTTGCCTGGAAGAAATTGCTAGTTAGCAATAAGGCCGCCTATTGTCCATTAACTGCCTCGGTGGCCGAACGATTACCATGCCGGACTGCCACGCAGAGGTCCCAGGTTCGGTTCCCGGGCCGGGAGAAATATTTGTATGACCTACATTTATTTCTCTCGTGAGTTCGGGTGTAATTTATAGTTGTCTATGTATGTGTTCATGGCACCCGCGACACAGGGTTGCCCTAGTGTGTGCGTTATTATTATTATTGTACAGGGTCAAGAGCACGTCAAGCTTGACACTTAAGACTTAAATCCAACTCTATGCCGCTCACGATAAGAACGGTCTAAAGTACAAAGTGTCAAGCTTGATGTGCTCTTGACTGTACATTACCTTACTCTGTGATACTTACGTTACGGTTATGTGATGTCATTGTAATTCTTTATGTGCATTAAAGAATATTTTATTAATTCATTAATTTTTTGAACAAAAAAGTTGACGCTATGTTAACGTGGAAATTGTGCCTAAGTTTTTAACAAAGAACTTTGACATTTTGTATATCTTAATTAAGCTGTGGCCTACCGTATCTAAGGGCTGCCCGATTACTATTTTCTTTACCAAAAATTATTATTTCACTTTTATAATACCTACTTAATTTATTGCGAACGATTTGTATGTAGTGTAGAAATAAATAAACTCGCGTCACAAGAACAATTATGACATGTAATAATTTTGTGTAACCGTGGATTATGTTTAAAATAAATAACAAAATATTTGATTCTGGTCACCTTGACTCTACGTTGAAATTCGTATTACGGTTGATGTTTCCAAAATTATTGCTATCGGCAGAAAAACCTTGGTGTTTAACGTACGGAAAACAATAACCGTCTAAGTGCCTACGCGAACCTCTGATTCGCAGTAAACACCAACAGGTTTTTTGCTGTAATATACACACGAGTATCTATTTGTGCTTTGCTTTATAAAGCCGGGCGGGCACAGGGAAACAACATTGTAGTTCGGAAGCTTCATCATGATGGAGCTCACAATATATGCCATAGTGTTAGGTGTGACAAATTTAGTGACAGCAAGTCCTAGTGGTTACGGGGTCGGAAGCGGTGCATTTGCAGGAGGTAAGTACATAAGAAGGGATAACTATGTTCAAATTTAGTGACAGTAAAATATTGCTATACTTACAAATATCTATTCATATGTATTTTAGTGTATAAATGAAAATAATTTAAAATATCAAAATAAATCTACACTTGTGCCAGACGACCACACCAATTGCGTGGTCTCAAACTACGGAATTTCGCACTTTCCAGAACACCCAGACCAGAGCCAATTTAGTTAAGTTTATTTCCCAAATTGGTCCTACCGGGAATCGATCTCCTTATTATTATCCAGTACCCACAATGCAAACCATTGGGCCACCGAGGTCGAGGTTATGGAAAAATAATATAGGTACAGTTATCTTATAAATAAGTTAAATTCTATTTTCTCAATAATTATGTATGCACTTGTGACTCAAACATATAGCCTTCGAAGTTTAAGCACCGTAGGTACTTACCTACCTACTTTAATTGATATATTTTATTCATAACTGGTTTTTTTTTGTTATAGCTCACGCCGGAGCTGGCACTTTTGGCGGATTTGGTGGAATACCACTGTCAATACCGAGTGCTGGAAGTTACTCCGGTAGCTTTTCAAAATCTTTATCGTCCAGTCATGCTTCGTCAAGCGCTAGTGCTAGTTCTAGCTCGTTCAGTTTTGGTGGTTCCGGTCTCATTCCTAACGTAATCAGAAGTGGCGGTAACGTAATACCAAGCGCAGGAGGGTGTTCATCTGGATCCTGCCAAACTGGAATTAAAGGAGCGCCTGGCTTTGGAACAGGCAGTACTGGAAGTGGTGCCAACGCCGCAGCTATAGCTAGTGCTGGTAGTTTTGTTGGATCAACTGCAAATTCCAAACCATGCATAACCGGCGATTGCTCAAGTCAAGATCAGGGATGCACAGGATCAAACTGTAATTCCAATATAAATAAAAATAATTGCGCACCAGGTCAATGTTCTCCTACTGATACAGCGTCTATATATTTTGACGATATTCCTGTTAACATAGTGCGTAGCACTACGGCAAGTACGTACAATGGAAACGAGAAACCTCATAATTCATTGAGTATGTCAAGTACTGACGGGTGCTTAAATGGGAATTGTGGTTCTGCCTCGACACCTAAACCAGCATACAGTCAAACCTCAGCGGGTGCTTTCCCTAGCTCGTCAGGGCCGGTCAATAAACCAGCTACCTATTTGATAAGTCCTAAAGAACAGACACCGTGCACATCACCAAACTGTGGATTTCCTACAGGGAGCGCATACGACACAGAACATTTACCGTCTAGTTATGCCGTGCCCATACAAGGTAGTTACAATAAGCCATCGTCACCTGAAAAAACTCCTTGTTCTACGGGTAACTGTGCACCAAATAATTCATACCCTTCGAGCTCTAGTGCAACTGTGGATTGTGTGTCTGGAAATTGTAACAATACTCCTTTACCTTCAACAGATCTTAACACCAAAAAACCAACTCTTTCAAACTCACAGGACGATATCCCTGATTTTGTACCATTGGCACCATCTGCTGCAACAAATTGTGGGACTCCAAATTGTGTCACTTCACCGTCAGCGATATCTAAATATCCTAGTAATTTACAGCAAGGATCGTACTCAAATACTTTTTTGACTAGTTCCGGATCAGGATCTAATTTGTTTTCAGGATCTTACGATACCACCAAACCAAGTAGTATTGCTTCCTCCGTCACTGAGAAAATCCCTCCTTATGTTGGTGGTTTTGGAGGACCGCCTGGAATTTTGCAACTAAACGATTTCACTCTTCCATCGAAAATTCCTGCATCTGATTATAAACCATCCGTAACGTCGGCCTCGTACACTCCACCCACAGGTTCATTATTGCCTCATAACCAGAATAGCTCACCGACAGGACTTCAACACAAACCCATCTATAAACCGCCAGGTCCCAGTGCACCTCAATACCAACCGTCACCGTCAACTGGATTGTATAAGCCACTCTGCACGTCTGGCAATTGTGGAAGCATGCCCACAACGCCATACCCTATCTACCCTCCTTATGCTCCGACTGGACCGTCAAATGGGGCCTCATATAAACCAACAGGTCCTTCATCTTGTACTTCTGGCAAGTGTGAAGTGCAACAATTACCCAATGAATCCTTATATAAACCTGGATCTAACAGTCCTACACCTTGCGCCACTGGAAATTGTGGGACCCAGCAACCTGGGCATGGTATATCAACTTCGTCAGACTCGTATGTTTCAAGTATATGTACCTCTGAAAATTGTGGCACTAAACCTACTAAGCCACTAAATTACGGCAACATTCCCAGTGGAAGTTTCAAGCCAATTTCGCCAGGAAGCTCATTTCCTTTCACGTGTTCTCATGGAAGCTGTGGGTCTACTCAGCCTGGTCTTTCACCTGGTCCTTATGAACCAGTATTGCCGACAGGATCTTACAAACCACCAACTTGTACTTCTGGAAATTGTGACACTAAACTTAGTCAGCCTCTAAACTACGGCAACATTCCTAGTAGAACATATAAGCCAACTTCGCCGGGAACCACATTTTCCTCTGCATGTTCTTATGGAAACTGTGGACCCATTCAATCTGGCCTTTCACAAGGCAGTTTTTATGAACCAACATCTCCGACAGGATCTTACAAACCATCAATTTGTACTTCTGGAAACTGTGGCAGTCAATCTAGCCAGCCTTCTAATTACGGACAAGCTGGAACATTAACGTCAACTACAGCCGTCAGTAACAACAATCATGGTCAGAATAAACCTACTTATGGATTTAGTGGACCTCCGGGAGTGTTGGAACCCAAAGATTTTAATGCGCCAGCTGTTTCGGTGTCTGTCAACAAACCCACAGTGCCGGGCTCTTATAATCCAACATCCTGCACATCTGGAAATTGTGGAACACAACTCGGACACATCGGTCCTTCAAACAATGGTCAATACAATCCCACAACATCAGGTTCTTATAATCCGTCAACTTGCACTTATGGGAATTGTGGATCACGGTCGGGATTAAGCAATCCTTCAAACAATGGCCAATATAAACCTACAGCAGCAGGATCTTACAACCCAACAGTATGTTCATCTGGAAGTTGCGGTCACTCTCCATCACAGTTTGGTCAAAACAGTGGAACTCATTTATCAAGTAGTGCTGTTGCCAGTGCCAATACTGTCGTTTACACTGGGGGCTTCGGCGGCCCGCCTGGGCTCTTAAAATCGTACGACGATGGTAAACTTGTAGGAAATGGACTTGCATCTTCTGGAAACCCACAACCCGTAGGTTCTCAAGTAGATAATTTTGGAAATCCATCAGCGACTGGTATTAATTCCTCGAACGGAAAATCATTGACCGATGGAAGCGGAGTGACTGCTGGGGTTAGTGCACAAGCTAAAGCATTTCGTGGTGGCAACTATGAAACCCCCGATAATAGAGTAAGTGGCTGTAAAGGTGGATGCGGATCAAACGGTAGCGGCAATTATGGGCTCAGTGGCGCAGCAGCGAAAAGCCAAGCGAGTGCCGGCATTGGAGCGTTCGGTTTCGGAGGAAGCTATGCCAGCAGCTCAGCCTCGGCGCATGCCTCTGCTGGAGCTGTCGCAAAAGTAGGTAAGTACACAAGAAAAAATATCCGTAACACGAAAATTTATTATTGCAAATAACTAGAATCAGTTGGAAAAAAATACTTTTTACATCTCATTTATACATTTCACTATAATTTTAATTCTCTGTAATTTTCTTGTGCAATAGAAACACGTAAATATTACATTACACACTATGCTGAGGTTTAATGACACTTTTATTTGGTCTGTGATCACACTTTTGTTTTGTTTCAGGATACGGTAAACGATAGAACAGTTTCAGGAGAACTGAAAGATCTATTTACCAAATCTTGTGAGTAGAGCCTTAAATATGTTAAAAGTAAAAGACTTGTATAAGAATTGCGTGAGAATGTAGCATATTGCAGCCATAACTTGTTGTTGTAAGTTAAATATTATTGTATTAAGTATTTATAATTTTTAAATGTAATAATACATGCCATGAGAAATTTATACTTGTGCTATTTTATCTTCCTTTATAAAATTTATCTAATAAAATTATCTCATCAGTAAAACAGTATTCGTAATACATTTCTACAAGAATAATACGATACACTAATAAGGTAGCCGTGGATACTATAGGTATTGAGAAACTTTTTGTCGGTAAAACGCTTCTTTACGTCTAAACCGTGAAGGTAAACTGGAACGACTTCAAAACTTGCTTTAAAATCCAATCTACTGAGTATTCGAGGATTACGGAAGTTGATATTTGTATTGTTTATTGCATTGCGTTTTTATGTATTATTTGACATTATAATTATTCCGTTATCCAGTTCGTCACTGCAATTAAAAGTTTACCTTAATAAGTTTTTGTACTTGCCTCTTTTCGCAAATATCGAACTATTCCGAAGCTTGCATGTTAGAATAGTACTTTACAAAGTTTCTTAAGATCTTTATAACTATTATAGTGATTGTAATGATTGCCGTCATTAAGGAGTTCTCGCATAAGGACATAAGCGGGCGATCATCGCCGTCATCGTAAATCACCATGTGTCTCGTATATATAGTGATATAATCATTCTCGCCCATTGTTCACAACTAGGGATGCTAGCAACCATATTAATAATTCATAGATACTTGGTGATTTTTTGTTGGTGTGAACAACGCGAGGAATGATTTCTGAGAATATATTTTTATATAAACTGTACAGTAGGTGGATAACATTGAAAAATATTATTTTGAGATCATGATCATAATAATAACTATTATAACCAGTGGGGAAAACGAGTACTTGTGTGGATACCAGTAATCGTAGTGTAGGATGCCCTCTGGCCAGATGGAGTGACGATTTGCGAAAACGTGCTGGCAACAGTTGGATGCGATGCAACAAGCTGAGGACCGGGCGAAATTGTGCATATTGGGAGAGGCTTATGTGCAACAGTGGACTACGATAGGTTTATGATAATGTATGATAATTGTGCTGTACACTAACTTTAACTCGATAATTTGTCAGGTGTAGGTGTCAAACAACTTCGATATAAAAGTGTTGAGTTTGTGACACATACCTACAAGTAACGAGTATTTATTACGAATTTCAGGTAGGTAAAACCCGTACTCGTTGAAATCACATCCGATCGTCAGTCACATAAAGAATAAAATGTAGCCACCAAGTATTTACTAATCCATAATTCATGTAACTCTTCATTCTTTGTAAAGCTTTTGTCGAGCATGACTAAGAGATGACTGTGAAGTGAATTAGGCAGCATATAGTGCAGCGTACATACCTAGCTTTCAAGGTCTGGTTAAAATACAATGTTTAAATCGAGCTCTTAAAATATATAGAGGCACCAGTCAATCAGGTATCAGTCATGTTGTTCATACACAATAAACTATGCATATTAATTAAAAATAATGAGTCATTGCTTGAATATACGATTTACGTTGTAAATGTTGTTTTGTAAACATCTTTCTTAATGTAAACAACGCTATCGACCCGAACTTTTATTACAAAGATTTTAAATAACCCATTTAAAAGAAGAGAGCTTTTATTTTGTTATGTTAGAAGATGTTGAAATAAATAAATAAATAAATAAATGTTTTGCAGTCCTTAATACGTATTACATTAAATAACAATAGTTATAATCCATTGAAACGTCTCCGGCAAATAAAGTTGCTACGGCTGAAGCACTTTAAAATTGTACCCAGGACCTGCATAAATTAATAATTGTAATTATCACTCGTAGGTAAGTGAAGCTAGAATTTTCTGACAGATGTTACTAGAGTGTAAAATTCCAACTTTTCTATGTTATATTTAATTTCAGGACTTTTGTTCCAGAGAACGTGCCAGTCCTATCATAACGTTTCTGTAATTGTTATACAATCTTTAGATGAGTAAAAGACATTTTTTGTATATATTAAAGGGAAATGAAACTAAGTTTGTTGACGATCAACCGTGACCATGGGACCAATAAAGGACCCGAAACGTCGGTTTGTTTGAAAAAACAAATATACGCGATTTAAATCCGGAAAAATAGTTCATTTCCTATGTGTAACAATCGCGAAAACCTAAGAACTCGATATTAAAGGGAGTTTCAAAATGGCCACTGTAAAGATATAACGATTTCTCGCGAAAAAAAGTCAGAAAATTAAACTATTGCAGTATGTCTATGGCAGTATGGCCAATTAGACGTCTTTGTCTCTCTCGAATGTCGAAAAATTGTACTATTATAGATATTAAAAGTACAAAATCAACGATGATGGTTATTTATCATACAATTTTATTTCATCCACATTTATTCTAATTTATTAATATTTTAGTATTTACAAATGTATTCACTTTTAAATAAAGGCTATGAAACGATTTTTAGAGCTATAAAAAAAAGACATAAAATCTTTACATAATTTTTTTTTTAATTCTAAAGAAACCTCACAGGCACGTGTCTGTAAGTGCTTTAGGTCAAAAAGCACTTACAGAGACGTGCCTAACGTATGTATGGATTAATAACGATAATGAAAAAATCTTTTAGAAATAAATTTGACTTGACAAATTGAGCGAAATTAAAAAATTACATATTCAATTTTAAGAATGTAATAGATATTCGTAGCTACACAGACATACATTATTATTCGTTGAAGTGATGTAAAGCACCGATTATGTAGAAAATTTTATCCCTAGCCTAGTCGTGTGACCTGTCTAGCATGTTAACGATGCTAATACATCGAAATCTGGTAACCGGTTTCAGTTTCATTGACATTTTTTCATCATTAGGTCTGTGTAAGTTAATTACATTATTTATTTACTTTTTCATTTGATCGCTGTCACATAAAAAATTGTATACAATTTTGCAATTGATTCTAATCCTCCCGTGATTTCATTTGTTAGGTCAACGACTCTAAAAGTTTCTGCGACCTGATGAATTTGTATGCCTGTCATTTCCAAGACAACATGCAAGCTTTGTTGTGTGTTTTGCGAGAGTTATTAAAATTTTGGATTATTAATGAATAGTTATTTAAAAAAATGTTTTTTATGTAGGTACGTCAAGGTTTTCTTTTGTTATTTCTTTCATGGTTGTCTTTTCGCTTTTCATCAAGTATCATCATTAATCCATACAAAAATGGAAAAAAAATGTAACGGGCTCACTTATAACTGGGCGAAAATTGTATGTTAAGATTGATCATACCGCATTAATGCCACTTCATTTGAAAAAAGTCACGTTTTTGTACATTCACGCAAACTATTTTATATAAAAACAGGATCGTCGTGTACTACCTTAAGCGTTAACTAGAAGAGCTGAGTAATGTTCGCCTACTCAACGCACACATAGGCTGGTCATGGCCGCAGTTTATCATAAATAATTACTTATCAAACTAAACAATTGCCAGCTTTCAATGAAATTATGGGACCAACACATTGTATGAAGTTAATTATTTTTTAAATTAACCCGTTCATGGACAGTAACGTTTACCGTAAAATTAAATACCCTGGTACATATTAGGTACCTCGTTTCAGTATATAGAAAAAAACAACAACGTGCTTCACAATGCGATTTTCAAGTGCTTTCTTTGTGATTGCTAATTGCCGCCTACTGCTTCTCCATAGAGAAGTCTCAACAATATACCTAATGACAAAATTCATTAATTTATATTGAACATTTTATTTTAAATCAAACTACGGCACAAACAAAAGTAGTGACTTTTTTGTGTGCCGTACCATTTAAATACCTACTGTCCATGTACGGGTTAACAAAAAGTACTTATCACTTGTTCTGCTGTTTATAATTTTTATATTATATATATATTATATATTTTATATATTTTATATTGTAGGGTATAAATGCGCAGTGTCTTTAATGTTATTGATAATGTTATATTTAAAAAGGGCATGCAATCCATTTATTTAGAAAAATCGGTGCCCAATAGTAATTGTTTGATGTTCTTATTTTAAAGTTGAGAGCTTAGAATAATAACGCATAGAATGATAGTTTCATATCAAACGAACTGTCACAAGTGAGGCAAAAACCAAATTCATGTAGGCGTAAGCAACTTGTAACTACGCTCGTCGGCACGCACACAAATATACAAATAATGATGCCATGGAATAACATTTCCCTCAAAAATGGGGAAATTGTATCTTGCTTAACTCATCATTAAGTTAAAGGTGCCTACAGATTTGCCCGACATTGTCGATCAGGTGCCTACAGATGTGCTCGGTTTTGTCGATGAAAAACGAATATAGCACTTATTTGTAAATCCAAGATGGCGGACACGATTTTTCAAAATATGCTATATGGGTATCCTTTTCGAGGTATTTGGGGATGCTCATTACGAATATGGCACTCATTTCTAAATCCAAGATGGCGGACACGAGTTTTGAAATAAATGCAATATGGGTATCATTTTCGAGGTACTTGGGGATGCTCATGACGAATATGGCACTCATTTCTACATCCAAGATGGCGGGCACGATTTTTCAAAAAAATGCAATATGGGTATCATTTTCGAGGTACTTGGGGGTGCTCATTACGAATATGGCACTCATTTCTAAATCCAAGATGGCGGGCACGATTTTTTCAAAAAAATGCAATATGGGTATCATTTTCGAGGTATTTGGGGATGCTCATTACGAATATGGCACTCATTTCTAAATCCAAGATGGCGGACACGAGTTTTCAAATAAATGCAATATGGGTATCATTTTCGAGGTACTTGGGGGTGCTCATTACGAATGTGGCACTCATTTCTAAATCCAAGATGGCGGACACGAGTTTTCAAATAAATGCAATATGAGTATCATTTTCGAGGTACTTGGGTGCTCATTACGAATATGGCACTCATTTCTAAATCTAAGATGGCGGGCACGATTTTTCAAAAAAATGCTATATGGGTATCCTTTTCGAGATATTTGGGGATGCTCATTACGAATATGGCACTCATTTCTAAATCCAAGATGGCGGACACGAGTTTTCAAATAAATACAATATGGGTATCATTTTCGAGGTACT